TTGAAATACAAGCGGATTGGATCATTGTTTACGACAAAAAACATTTTAAAGTATCTTAAAGTGCTAAAAGTGAAGTGTCCTTTGCATAGCTTGAGTGCCTTCCGGAATTTGTGCAATGGAGCAGGCACGATGTCCATGCGATTACAGGGAATGAGGGACAGTGAGAAGAGAGAGGATGACGAGTCGGCATCGACAACAATGAATATAAAAAGAGTTGAAGGAAGTGATAAAGGAGCACCATGGAGCACCTGTTGGTTTATATTGAGTCAAACAGGTCAAAGTTTGCTCGTTTTTTGACCCATTGTGGCATATTGTGGCATAACCATGACAACCTGTTTCGTCCACCAAGCATTTCCCCACCATGTCACTGTGCGAGGTTTGTGGATCAGCTGCACTGCCTGGTGGCCTCAAGGAGTGATTTAAGCTAAACGGATCCAAACAGTTTAACAAACGGTTTTACGATGAGCAATAGTTCAACACATTTTCAATATCTTTAACGCGATAGTTCCACCACATGGTGCATTTCATTGAAGCCGTGCAGATGGTTCAAGATCTTGTTCCTGTCCTGCTGAATCCTGTTGACCTCTTTTGATGCTTTGGGGTGCCCACTTGTCCCCCCTTTGGAGAGTCTGAGCTGCGTCCCTGAAGCCAATCTGTAAATTCCTCTGAGGCTCTCTAGAGTCGCAGATGGCCGAGACACCGGAGAGAGTTGTTAGCTCCTGCATGTTTGACTTATTTGACTTATTCGACTTGTGCGTTCTGTGATGTGACTTGTGTGATTTGTTTCACTCTGACATATGGTGACCACGGTAACCATACTGTACCGACAGTCCTCATCTCTCCCTTGGATCGCAGCACAGTGAAGCGATGTGAAGCGTTTGGCCAGCTGGTGAAGTTTCCGGATGCGGAGAGCCCGGTTGCATTTTTCACTTCGCTTGCCACTTAAGTCCTGCATAAGTCCTGCCACAAGTCTAAGCTGGCACCTTTGATTCACTTCACATCGTTCTGGCCTTTACTAAGTTCCTACCAGCTGTTTTTTGATCCATTGTTTTGATCCATATCGATTTTCCAACTCAGGAGGTTGTAGTCGATTGTAGGAACGAATTGAACTGAAGACTGTAGACCCAATGGCAAGCTTTCCTTGTTGGCCTCAGCGTGCTTCTATAGACTGATGCTTCCGTCTGGTTTTGTACTATTGATAGCTTCAGAGTGGAAGCTGCTCAGCAAAGTTTAACACTTTAACAGCTTCCGCCTCTCGCTGCAATTTCCAAGGCTGCAAACACAAGCCCCACCGATGGAGTTCAAAGAAGGCGGTTGCAGTGGTTGCAGGGCGCACCGGTCCGTCCAATCCGTCCAATCCAGCCAATCCGTCCTTGACCAAGGCTATGACCATTGACCATATTAACAGCTGAACATTTGGCTGGCCCGGGTGTCCCATGACCATGCTAGAATATGCTAGAACCTTTTGCCCTCAGAGACTTAGAACATCCAAGAGACATTCCACATCATTGCACAATATTACACATACACTCACACACACACATATATATAGATTATATATATATATATTATATACACACTAAATCACACACGAAATCATACTAACAAATCTTTAGGAATGGGAACTCTCATTGACCCGGCCTGGGCATTGCTGGACAATGATGGCATGCAATTTTGTAGCTTGAAACTGCATCAGTAACATATCAGTACATACTGTATCAGTACTTTGGCATGAGATCTCAACAAGATGTAAACATTCGCAAGAGAAAAGTGAAAGCAATGAAAGGGAGACTTTCGACCATGTTCAAACTATACCGCACAATCTGTTGGTGGAAGCAGTTGATCTATGTTGATCTCCAATCTTTCAAAACATCCTGGGCAGCTGCCAGAAATTGACAGAATATTGACAGATCTGATGGTTTTGTACATGTACGTTTATTTACATTTCGATCCATTTAGTATATTTTCATATTTCATACCAGTAGTACCTGCATGAGGTGGGGCGGAAGTTGCCTTGGGGGTTATGTTATGAAACCTTTCTCATCTATAGAACTTGCGTGTGCCGTGCGCCAGCCAGGCCCGTGCGTGCGTGCTTTGTGCGAACCTGTTGCACTGTTGTTGTCCAAGAACATGTCCTGCGCGCGACCCCGGTGCAATGCAACGCCAAGTGAACACTTTCTTCACACTTCACACTTCACACTGCACTCTTCACACCCCGCACTCCACACTTCACACCTCTTCTCACCTCTTCTCACCTCATCTCAACTCTTCTCATCTCATCCCATCTCGTCTCACATGTCATCTAAGTAAGTTCTTCTCAACTGTTTTCATCTCATCCGAGCACTGATCAACCTTTCTCATCTCCTCGAAGTTCGCCTCAACTCACCTCAGCTGTTCTGCACGCCAGCAAGCTCTTACTGTCAGAGAGAAGTCTCTTGCACAAAAAAAACCATGGGCGCAGAAAGCTTTAGAACACAGAAGCTTGAGACACAGATGCATTTACATAGAAAAGCCTTGCCAAAATACTTTGTACCACAAAGCTTGCACAAAGCACTTCCCAGTACTACTTTGTACTACAAAGCTTGCACAAAGCACTTCCCAGTACTACTTTGTACTACAAGACTTGCACACACACACTACTTCCCAGTACTACCTTGTACTACAAAGCTTGCACGGAGCACGTCCCAGTACTACCTTGTACTACAAAGCTTGCACAAAGCACTTCCCAGTACTACCTTGTAGTACAAAGCTTGCACAAAGCACTTCCCAGTACTACTTTGTACTACATAGCTTGCACAAAGCACTTCCCAGTACTACTTTGTACTACATAGCTTGCACAAAGCACTTCCCAGTACTACTTTGTACTACATAGCTTGCACAAAGCACTTCCCAGTACTACCTTGTACTACAAAGCTTGCATAGAGCACTTCCCAGTACTACTTTGTACTACAAAGCTTGCACAAAGCACTTCCCAGTACTACTTTGTACTACGAATCTTGCACAAAACACTTCCCATTGCTACTTTGCACTGCAAAGCTTGCACAAAGCACGCCCCAGTACGACTTTGTACTACAAAGCTTGCACAAAGCACTTCCCAGTACTACTTTGTACTACGTATCTTGCACAAAACACTTCCCATTACTACTTTGTACTACAAAGCTTGCACAAACCACTTCCCAGTACTACTTTGTACTACAAAGCTTGCACAAAGCACGTGCCAGTACTACCTTGTACTACAAAGCTTGCACAAAGCAGGCCCCAGTACAACTTTGTACTACAAAGCTTGTACAAAGCACTTCCCAGTACGACTTTGTACTGCACAGCTTGCACACAGCACTTCCCAGTACTACCTTGTACTACAAAGCTTGCATAGAGCACTTCCCAGTACTACTTTGTACTACAAAGCTTGCATGAAGCACTTCCCAGTACGACTACAAAGCTTGCACAAAGGACGTACTACTTTGTACTACATAGCTTGCACAAAGCACTTTCCAGTACGACTTTGTACTACAAAGCTTGCGCAAAGTACTTCCCAGTACTACTTTGTACTACAAGACTTGCACACACACACACTACTTCCCAGTACTACCTTGTACTACAAAGCTTGCACGGAGCACGTCCCAGTACTACCTTGTACTACAAAGCTTGCACAAAGCACTTCCCAGTACTACCTTGTACTACATAGCTTGCACAAAGCACTTCCCAGTACTACTTTGTACTACATAGCTTGCACAAAGCACTTCCCAGTACTACTTTGTACTACATAGCTTGCACAAAAAGCAACGTGCAGATACTACTTGTACAAAACAAAGCTTGCGCAAAGGCACTTCCCAGTCTACTTTGGACCAAAAGCTTGCAGTACTCCGAGTACTAGTTTGACTACTTTCTACTACAAAGCTTGCACAAAGCATGTCCCAGTACTACCTTGTACTACAAAGCTTGCACAAAGCACGTCCCAGTACTACCTTGTATTACAAGGCTTGCACAAACATCACGTGGCTAACCGGCATCTTTGTACGCACATGGCAACAAAAGGTGACGACCTTCATGCAGCCATTACACCGCGATCTGCAACCAGGGATTCCACAAGCGCATAGAACTACGGGCACGTGAACAACCACACGTTGCAAAACACCAAGGGAGAACCGATTGCGCCCGAAACAATCCAAACCACAACGATCCAAACCGCAACCGCCGCACACACAAGCTACCCTTCATCGCCGGCTGCAGCCACTTCACACGGAAAAACAGAAGGTATCGCTCTCCGGCTTCCTCCCCAACACGAGTCCCCTGCAACAGTCATGCAGAATTGCAATGGGTTTTGCAGCAGTATTGTCATGTGATGTAATGTTCTGTGATGTATTGTCATGTGATGGATTGTGATGTGATGTATTGTGATGTGATGTATTGTTGTGTAATGAAGTGTTATGTGGTGTAATGTGATGATATGTGATGTGATGTATTCTTTTCTGATGTAATGTTGTGTGATGTATTGTTTTGTGATGTATTGGTACTGCACTAGACTATACCTCATCCGTAACTCGGAAGATTGCTTCCCAACTTCCTTTGATCCCAACTTCCTTTGATCATTTTATTACATTTCCAGGATGGCACGTTGGAGAAAGCGTCGTGTATTTGGGTGATGACCGAGAAGCCGGCGGGAAGAGGTGCTCCCGAAGATTTTGTTGGTCGAATCATGCAGCAATGTCAGCTCTCAGCTATTTTGAATGGTTTTGTATGAAATTTGTATGACATATATTTGAATATCGGTGCTTTCCAAGTATATTCATTTCATGGTTGCCAGTGTGATTGGTTGCGTGATTTCATGCATAATGTAGGGAGAAGCATCAAAAAAAAATAAATGCATCAAAAAAAAATATAAATGCATCAAAAAAAAATATAAATGCATCAAAAAAAATAAATGACCATGAAGAAAGGAGGGAAGGAGGAAAGGAGGGAAGGAGGAAAGGAGGGAAGGAAGGAAGGAGGAAAGGAGGGAAGGAAGGAAGGAAGGAAGGAGGGAAGGAGGAAAGGAGGGAAGGAGGAAAGGAGGGAAGGAGGGAAGGAGGGAAGGAGGAAAGGAGAAAAGGAGGGAAGGAAGGAAGGAAGGCAGGCAGGCAGGCAGACAGGCAGGCAGGCAGGCAGGAAGGAAGGAAGGAAGGAAGAAAGGAAATAAGGAGGGAAGGAGGGAACGAGGAAAGGAGGGAAGGACGAAAGGAAGGAAGGAAGAAAGGAGGGAAGGAGGAAAGGAGGGAAGGAGGAAAGGAGGGAAGGAGGAAAGGAGGGAAGGAGGAAAGGAGGGAAGGAGGAAAGGAGGGAAGGAGGGAAGGAGGGAAGGATGCAAGGGGGGAACGAAGGGAAGGAAGGAAGGAAAGAAGGAAGGAAGGAAGGAAGGAAGGACCATGTGTGCAGTCAACACTTGCAGCTTGCAGCCACCACGGGCAGCGTGCAAAGTGCTGCTGAGCTGCTAGAGCTGAGGGGGTTCCAAAACTATTTTCTGGCCTTGTTCGGGCCTCGTTTTGGCATCGTTTTTGGCCTCGTTCGGAACCCGTTGCAGAAATACTGAGTTGAGATGCAAGTCAGAGCCACATAGATTTGTGACCAAAACATACCAAAACATACATGAACCATGCGCTCACATTTTGTTTTGAGACTTGTGCCTATGTGCTTCTCTGTTGGTACGCATTGCGGGGGGAGGCGCTGCGCCCTCCCCCCTGCACCCCCCCACCCGCTTTTATTTTTAAACCGGTTCCCCTTGCTACCTACTATTCCTTTCTTTTTGCATAAGCATCATCGTTTATTTGGGTTAATTTCATCTTTGTTGATATCCATCGAGACTTGTGCCTGTGTGTTTCTTTCTGGATCTTCTCGTTCTTACTTGCAATATATCCATTGAGACTTGTGCCTATGTGCTTCTCTCTTGGTACGCATTGCGGGGGGAGGCGCTGCGCCCTCTCCCCTGCACCCCCCCACCCGCTTTTATTTTTAAACCGGTTCCCCTTGCTACCTACTATTCCTTTCTTTTTGCATAAGCATCATCGTTTATTTGGGTTAATTTCATCTTTGCTGATATCCATCGAGACTTGTGCCTATGTGCTTCTTTCATGATCTTGTCGTTCTTACTTGCAATATATCCATTGAGACGTGTGCCTATGTGCTTCTCTCTTGGTACGCATTGCGGGGGGAGGCGCTGCGCCCTCTCCCCTGCACCCCCCCACCCGCTTTTATTTTTAAAACGGTTCCCCTTGCTACCTACTATTCCTTTTTTTTGCATAAGCATCATCGTTTATTTGGGTTAATTTCATCTTTGTTGATATCCATCGAGACTTGTGCCTATGTGCTTCTTTCTTGATCTTCCCGTTCTTACTTGCAATATATCCATTGAGACTTGTGCCTATGTGCTTCTCTCTTGGTACGCATTGCGGGGGGGAGGCGCTGCGCCATCCCCCCTGCACCCCCCCACCCGCTTTTTTTTTAAACCGGTTCCCCTTGCTACCTACTATTCCTTTCTTTTTGCATAAGCATCATCGTTTATTTGGGTTAATTTCATCTTTGTTGATATCCATCGAGACTTGTGCCTATGTGCTTCTTTCTTGATCTTCTCGTTCTTACTTGCAATAAATCCATTGAGACTTGTGCCTATGTGCTTTCTCTCTTGGTACGCATTGCGGGGGGAGGCGCTGCGCCCTCCCCCCTGCACCCCCCCACCCGCTTTTATTTTTAAACCGGTTCCCCTTGCTACCTACTATTCCTTTCTTTTTGCATAAGCATCATCGTTTATTTGGGTTAATTTCATCTTTGTTGATATCCAGCGAGACTTGTGCCTATGTGCTACTGCTACTGCTACTGCTGCTGCTGCTCCTGCTCCTACTACTGCTACTACTACTACTACCACTACTACTACTACTACTACTACCATTACTACTACTACTACTACTACTACCATTACTACTACTACTACGACGACGACTACTACGACGACTACGACGACTACTACGACTACGACGACGACTACGACTACGACGACGACTACGACTACGACTACGACTACGACTACGACTACGACTACGACTACTACTACTACTGCTACTGCTACTGCTACTACTACTACTACTACTGCTACTGCTACTGCTACTGCTACTGCTACTGCTACTACTACTACTACCACTACTACTACTACTACTTCTACTACTACTACTACTACAACTGCTACTCCTATACTACTACTACTACTGCTACTACTACTACTACTACGACGATATTTTTTTTTTGATACGGATATTTTTTTTTGATCTAGGTTTGCAGCACGAAACCCGTGAGGTCTCACACAGTGGCACCAGGATATTTTTTTTTTGATGCATATATTTTTTTTTTTGATGCGTGCTGGATATTTTTTTTTGATGCATTTATATTTTTTTTTGATACGTGTCTCGGTACATTGGTTGTATCTTGGTACTTGCGACAGTCATGGGACCCCAAGAACGAACTGCAGAAAATTGCAGAACAAAATCCCTTTGTCGTCAACGCTTAGGGATTGTGATGATTGCGGTTTTTTTCAGCATCTGCATGTTTGACGTGTCTAGTTACGCATCGTGTTTGTATAGCCGAAACTTCAGGTTGTGTGCTGGAATGCCCTGCAAGGCGCTTGTCCACATCATTCAGCAGATGGTTTTACGAATCAACGTGAAAACGACTAGTTCAGAAAAATCAAATCATGATCAGTTGGCTACAGACTATATGTTTTTTCATCGACCAACTGTGACAATGATTGTCAACTGCCTTGTTCAAACCTCATTCAGATTAATTTGATCGACCATTTGGGTGCTTGGAACACTTGCCGAACCCCTACAGACAGCAGATCGGTCATAAGCACACACAAAATTAAATCCAACTACATGGTCCGGCGGTGATAGAAGGCCGTATGGTTTTGTAGACTTGCATGACGTCATTGAGTCACTGGGAAAGTCAAATGTGCTTTAAAAATCCCATGCTTGCCAAACAAAATGCAACTGTGCTCATCATGTGAATCAGAGGGACGTTTTGGGAAGTGATTTTGGAGTTTAAAAAACATTCGTTCGATCAGCTCCACACGCATGTTTCCCATTGTTTCCCTTTTCACAACTGAGAACAAATCAGATAAGTGATCCAAAACCATCCACCTTTGGAGGAGTTTTCCTCCATGAGGAAAAAAACGTTCGTATATCCAACACCGAATACGTTTAAACGTCATTATGGAAAACATATCACCACAGTTTTAAAGAACCCACCCCCAATCTCTAACTTATACAGCATTAAGCACGTGTGCCAGTGCCATCCCACCCCAACCCGTAGCATCAAGTACGTGTGCCAGTGCAAGTGAACGTAACACCAAAAACGCAGCAAAACAACAACATGGCGTTTCACTGCGTCCAGAGAAACAACATTTACAAAAAAAGATAAAAAAGCAAGCTCCCGCTGTGATGCCAGACACATGAAAAGCCAAAAACAATGTTTCATCACACGGCTGTCTACACCCGCCCAGCCTACTATATACTTGCGTCCTGTGGCAGCAGTATCGTGCTACAAGGAGCTATTCTTACAGGAATTTTTTCAGTACCTGGTGGGCCAGGTTAGAATCAACCGAAGTTATTCCCCCTGAATTTTTGCACTAGTCGAACTGTCGCAAGGTGGTTGGTCCTGGTGCTGAAGAGCCAGACTCTTTGCCTTCCTGCCAAAGTCAAGCCGCATTTTCGGTGTTGTTTTTTTTGGTGGCAAAATCGGTGTCTTCAGGTATATAGATTCTCATTGCTTGAATTCTTGACAAGTGCTTGCTTCTTGTCACTGCTTGTGGAACCATGATGAAACCATGGAGATTAGAAGTAAGTTCCATGAGCCATGCACATATGCACATTATTTAAGAGGCAGTTCAACTACCGCCAACCTCTACTTCCTCTACTTGTACCTTCTAAATATATATATATATTCAGTAGAAATTACAAATCTTTGTATGACTTCTGTGTGGTTTGAGTGGTGGTCAAGTGTGGTTCCTTTTGTGCGCCCTTCATTTGTGGTTTTCTTGCCACGAACAGATTCATACCTGTCCTGCTGAGAGCTCTCAATTCTTGAGGTCCTCTGTTGCCGTGCAGTTTCCTGGTTTTTTACGAACTCATTTTGACAGCCGGGTGGCCCATTTCACCAAAAGCTTTCAGAAAGAGTCTTTGCCTGCAAAAATTGATGACATCTCGCAGCATCACAGCTACCGCATGTTTGACTTGACCACGAGGCGAATATCGGAAGGCCCTCCGAGCTTCCAGGTTGCCAGCACCTCAGCGCTTTGAAGATTGAAAGATATCTTTCAGATATCTGGAAGATATCTGAAAGTCTGAAAGATGCGAAGAAAAAACAGAAGATTAAACGAATTGGTATCGAATTGATTTTAAATGTTGTAACAAAATCCGACTGCTCCATGCTTCATGGTGCTCTCAGAAAGCGCCCTTTGCGCCATTGAGGTGCTGCAGCTTGTTGGCTGGAGGCGTGCGGGACGCCACTTCGAATACAACCACAGAAGACGGGAAAGCTTGTCATTTTCATCAGTACTTCTGGATACTTCTGGGAGTTTTCAGCCAGTTTCGCAAACTTGTCTTAAGTCATCTCGAGTCATTGAGACTTGAGAGAGTTGAGAGGTCTTTTGTGGAGAATAATGGAGAGCCTTTTAGCATCTTGGAGTGCCAGGTCTTGGCAAAGTCAAAGCCTTCAAAGTGAGAGGGCCGTGTTCTCAAGGAACAACACCTTCAGATTTTCATTAAGGATATGTTACGTATGTTTGGGACTCTGAAATTGGCGCCTGAGCAAAAGGGGTGCGAATCGGCAGATTGCATCAGGCTGTACAACAGGATGATGTCCCTTCCAAATTCACCACAGACACCATTGCGGGTTATGCTATGGATTGAGGAGGAGTCCTCTATGCCAAGATCAGCGTGGAAGTAACGCTTCTAACGCGAGATTCTAACTTACTCGGGGAAAAAAAACATGGGTAGAAGCATAAGCTCTTGAAACTAAACTGCTCATTTTCTTGCGTGTCAGAGAAATAACTTCAGATGGGCCACACCAACACTCGGGGCATCTCTTTGCAGCTAGACAAAAACAGGTGCGAGTCACAGTCAAAGATGTCCAAAATGCGCAAGATTCATCAAGATTCCGTTACTCAAAGAATACACATTGTCTTGGTATGTTTTGGTCGTCCAGACAGCAAGGCGTCATGCGTCACTGGATCAAGAGGGTGTTTCAACTTCTTCTTTCCACAGCTATACGGCAAGTTCTGAAGAAAAACCTTCAATCTCAATATCGACATGCGCAAGGTCTTGTGTTGTTTGTTTGATCTTGAAGTTAGATTTGTCATGATTTGTCCAAAGTTTGTCCCCTCCCCATGATCGTTTTAAGTTGTTCAATGCCAATGACACTGCTTCTTTATTGATTGCACTCAGCAGATGGCAGCAGTCCTGCCCCCCAAGAGGGGGTCAAGCTTCCCTTGCCTCCATTTGCCAAACCAAACGTTGCTCTTGAAAACGTTTGATGCTGTCGCATGGCAAGACCAGGCGCCATCAAACTGTTGTCATTCACTTGCTGCAATGAACGACAAACAAGTCGAAACTTGAGTGCATCTAAACGAACAGCTGAACCAAGCAATTCTAAGCATCAAAAGGTGAAGACTTCAAGGGTGCTCGAACAGAAGGTGGATAAATGCGGACTTACATACATGATCATACATGGGCTTACCAAGATTTCCCAAGTCGTTTTCTTTGGACTTTACGACTTTACGACTTTACGCCGAGCTGCCGAGCTGCAATATAGCTGCAATATAGCTCCCAATTGTGTCCGGGGAAGCAGGGAAGCAGCGGGGAAGCATCTTTCTGCGAGGCTCTAGCACGATGCCGTTTGGGATCTCAAAACGAGTGCCATTTTGAGAGTATGGCAAAACTCCGTCTGCCATTGGATCAGTTTTGGAAAGCAGTGGCAAATGAAGCGCTGCACAATCTTTCATCAAGAGAAGAATGAAACGCCTTTAAAAACAAAGAAACTTTTTGGTGCATGGACGGGTCGGATGGGTGTCATTAGGTATCACTGTTTGACCATTCAGACTGATGCTTCCGTGAGAGACATGAGATCCGTGCATGAGGTTGGTGCCAAGGGCTGGCAAAAAGTGCCCGAGAGTTGTCAGTAGGATCTTGTGGGAACATGTTGAATCATGTTGAATCATGTTGATCATGGATAAATCATGGATATCATGGGCCCCCTGAGTTGCAGATCTAGATTCTGTGGCTGTAGCATGCTGTAGCGGGACGTTTGTGTCGAAGTCTTTGAACATCTTTGAAGACTTTCGAATATGTCGGGATTCGAAGTCCGAAATCGGAATTCCGTGGAGATCCGCGGAGTACTGAGTTACAACATGTTGCATCTGTTCGTGATCTGTTCGTGATCCCTGCGGACGATCCAGGTTCACCAGTGATGACTTCCGTGCACACTTCAGCTTTTTAGCGAAATGCTTAGCATTTCAACATATTTCAACATTTTCAACGTTCTACGATTCGTTCACATTACCACGTTACCTTCTTTTAAGCGCACGTTGTGCCGTTTGCAGCACAATTATTTGGGTGAAATTTCGGAGCCTAACTCCTAAGGCTTTGATGATGGTATGCTGCGGGGCCGCTCAGGGCAGATTGAATAGAGATTCTTGGAGCAATAATTGATAATAGTTAGACAAATCAGGAATAATCAGGCCTGACCTATCTGACCTCAAAGCAAGCGGCAGCAGATGAAGGCAGTACAAAGTTCCAGTGAAACTCTTTCATATCTCGCAAAGCTAAGTTGCCTGCATCGTCTACCTCATGGGCAAGCTGCGCTCCATCTTCCGACCTTTTCTGTGGGTTGGACAGGGATGAATAGTGATGACACATGATGACACTGGTGTAGCTTTATGAAAGCTTCAACTCAGAATTGCGCAGGAGGATACCTTAAGAAATGGGGGAAGTGTGGTCCACACCTAGCCATCCTAGCCCGTCTCACGACCATTCCCATGTCCCAGCTCCACTTGAAAGGCACTTTTCCTGGTGATGGTTCTCACTCCTGCAGTGCTTGGGTGCCCCAGAACGTATGAAAAGGAATGTTCTTGGGAGTTCTTGGATGTTCTTGGATGTTCTTGGGATGTGAGGAGATCTGAGCACTTGAGTGGAAAAGGACAGGATGAAACAGAATCAAACGGGACCAAAAACAAAAATATTGAGCGAAAAGGTGTCAGATCGATTGCGGTCAAGTTTCAAAGGCTTGAAAAGGCTCCAATGAATCTCAGAAATACTTCTGAGGTTTCCAGTCCAAGCTCCCGGGAAAGAATGAATTGAAATCTCTTTCCTTTATTTTACTTCCATCGATTTCAGAATTCACTTAGATCCAGAGACGTCATGAGATGTGAAGAATCGCTGAGGTCTTCAGTTGAGAGTGTGCTGCTACGATGCAGTCATGCCCTGCAGGACTCCCAGTCTAAACAGTTCTTTGGAGGCCAGCCGAAAAACAATCAGCATAAGTGATCAAGAGAAAAACTGCAGGGGGCATGCTGTGCTTTGTGTCAAGGATCCTCTACTTGTACACTTACAACATGCTGAATGAAACTTCTTTATACAGTTGGTTAATGTTGGTTATGCAGGTACGTTGGAATACGTTGGAACTTGTTGGAACACACATCTTTGTCAATTGTTTCTACATGTTTCTACCATTTTCAATCCATCTCTGTGGTCAATTTTTTCTTGGTCATGATGAAGACAATTTGGATTGATTGGGTGCAACGGTTCAACATTCTGCAGCAGCAAGATATGCAGAATGTTTCACCAGAAATGCAAAGTCCAGAGTCAACCAGAGTCACAAGCTCCAGGATTCGCTCTTGTCTTACAATGTGTTTCAGCTGGGTTGTTGAATACCCACAGTGCTAAATCAGCGCTAATAGAACCCTGAATGATCCGGTTACACTCGTGGATGAGCCCTCCTTCAGGTATTGGATCTCATCGCAACAATCTCTCTCTCTCTCTCTTCCATTCTCCCTCTCTCTCTATGTATATATATATAATATGTATATATATAAGATACACTGTACACATATGTATATATACACATGCAATCACATACGTATGTATACTATATATATATATATTATAGGCATAGGAATTATAAATGTGTATATATATATACATTTATAAAATGCTATAAATCATTTATTATACATTATATAGTTAGAATTACATATGTATAGGCTAGGCATAGAAAGCTGACTTCAACTCTGCGGATCTCTGCGGCTGAGGTGCGGTTGCATTTCGGCATTCTGCTCGGGGGTTGGGCACCTCAGAACTGACAAGAGTTCGACGGCGAAGACAAACGGAAAATCAAACTGTTATGGTCGATAGTTTCAAAATGATTGATCAGTCGGCATCGGTCGGCCCGGTCGGCCCGGTCGGCCCGGTCGGCCAAGGGATTCCCTTTGATCCCTTTGTGCGTTGATCGCCAGGTGATGTGCATTTGCAGATGCATCTTTTGCATGAGGCAGGTCACGTAGGTCGGACGAAATCAGTGCTTCCTCGGTGTGCTGAACTTTTTAGCTATACACTATTACTCTGCATAGACTATACATATCATTACATATCTATACATAATAAATCATAATAAGAATTGACTTAATTAGATTTAATTAGTATAATAGTAACAGCCTGAACAAATCTGCAAGGAAAAGAAGAGGGGTGGTGGCATTGATGGGGATTCACCTTCAACCTCTTCAAGGGCGATGGGTTTTTAATGGTGACATGGTTGTGCCCTTTCTATCCCTTTCTGTCCCACAGTAGCAGATTCAAGACAGGACTCTAATGTTCATCAATCTCAGTGGTCATTTCATCTCATTTCATCTCATTTCATCCTGTTTTTATGGTCATTTTCCACGCTCCCAATCTGTTCCAATTTGTTCCAGCCTGTTTTCATGTTCGCACCGCCTAGCCCGCCTAGCCCTAGCGCGCCTGGCCGCCTGGCCGCCTGGCCAGATCAAGTCGCCTTCGAAATCGTGGAGCGGACAGTCGTCCAGGTGCTTGGCACAGATCACAGATCCAATCGATCCCTTGTCATTCCGACATTCGCACAATTTCGCACAGGAACGGCTCGAACGTCCTAAGATATCTAAGATATCCAATTCCGATCGATTCCGATCTTGAAAGGGATGCTAAGCGAAATCAAATCAAAGGACTGTGGAACTCCTTGACTTCAGATGACTTGCAAAGTTTTGAATTGCCACCCACTCCTAATGGCTTTTCATGGGTTTAGCATTCGCAACTGGCTCACAATATCTCACAATGCACATGATAAGCTTCTTCTCTGGAGCTCCAAAGTGTCTGGAAGTATCGGAAGCTCGGAGTCCTCGGAGTACAATGTGCAGAATGCAATTCGAACCAAATTCGAACCAAATTCGAACTGTTGGAATCCAAGGTGTTTCTCGAGAGATGGAGGTTGTAGCCTGCGCTCTACCGGGGGAGAGAGATCGAATTCCTTTATCTTACGATTCTTACGATTCTTACGATTCTTATGTCTCACATCCACGGCACATCTGAAGTGATTTCGTTGATCTTTCGGTTTGTATTTGGATATCATAGAAGTTTGATCTGCAGGCATCTAGAGAAGCTGTTTGCCTGGCGCTTTCGGTCCTGTCACCACAAAGTCATATAAGTCATGGATATTTCCAGGGTAGAGATTGATGAGATTGTCATAGATGGTCTTAAAATTTTTGGCTGTGAAGAACATCAACCACCAGCCGTACAGAGTCGCAGCATGTCGCAGCTTTCCAGGCCCAAGATGTTTTACATGTTGGCACCCCCGCAGAACCGAAAATCAATACTCCATCATGCACCAATCTACAAGATGAAGCACAACTCCACAGTTCTATATGGCATTATAAGAAGTTTTGTGGAGGTATGGATGGGGCAGTTTTGTGATGATTTGCAGCAACCCCGCACCAGTCTGCTTACAAGAATGCTGAGTTCTTTCAGAAAGATGTCACCTTCAGTTCCCCAAAGGAACAGTAAGGCAAGACGGTTCAGCATAGCCCCGAACAACTTTAAAGCCAGTCTAGCTCAGAAGTCATTTGCTGTGGCTTCCATGGCACCTGCACATATTCCCGTCAGGCAGGATGTGATATTTGGATTTTGGGATGATTTGGGATGATTTGGGATGATTTGGGATGATTTGGGATGTGAGCTTGCGCCCAAAGTCTGCAGGTTGATAGAATTTGATAGAATTTGATAGACCTTGTAGGCGTCGGCACCCAATGTGCAACATTTGAGCGGCGCTGGCGATCCATGTGTCATGTATCCTTTCCAGGCCATGGGCGAACAGAGGCCAGAGACTGACTTTGGATCGAAAGATGTTGAGAGAAATGAGTTCTTTTGGACATGATCCAAACGTGATCCAAAAAATATATCCAAGCCCAGTTTTGGGGGACTCAAAAGTTTGGTTTGCTTCGCCATTTGAAAGGGTCGTGCATGTGATTTCCCGATGTTAAAACGCAAGAGAGATGGAGGAATTGGGAGGAAACATCTCTATGATCTCTATGCAGACTCATGTAGACTCTATGCACATGCGACTGCAATGCGACTGCAGAGACTGCTGCCCTGTCCGAGGCAGTGTCCCAGTCGGGCCAGCTGGGATCACACGAGTGATGCCGAGGCTCCCAGCAACCGGAAGCTCTTCTAAACAATTCTAAACATACTAAAACAAATGTAAAACATTGTAAATACTAATATATATATAAATTATCTAAAACATTCTAAAACATATTCAACAGATGAAGAGATATGAAAAGATATGAAGAGATATGAAGAGATGAACCGTGAGCCTCACTGAGTTGGGACGTAGATCTTGTCGATGTCATCAAAGATGATCTCTTGATTTGTGAGGTGAAAAGGCGAGCAATTCCCAGCAGAATAACTTTCGGAACGGTGATCCATGATTTGCAAAGGTCTCATGACAATTTGGAAGTTGTATCAACGTTACCAATCAACCAAATGAACATCAGCCTACTCTGGAAGTTTTCAGTAATCCACAATGCCGTAGCAAAAAGGTAGCAAAAGAATGCAATGGATACCAATGGTATCCAATGGTACATATGGCTGCTTCAGAGACGATTCCAAACCTGATCTGCGGCAGTCTGTTGCAGTCTGTTGCAGGCCTGCAAGTGCCATAAGGCCACCTTCTCCTGGGCCCGTTATTCGACCAGCGATGCAGGTTAGAGGGCCCAGTTGGGGATGTGTGAAGATGTGTGAAGATGTGTGAAGATGTGTGAAGATGTGTGAAGCTGAAAAAGAGGACAACCGGCACTACCCGATTTTTTTTTTTGTAATTGCTATATTGCTGACATTGCTGACATTGCTGAGATGATCTGAGATGTGTTTTCTCGAACAACTCATTTGGTGATATTTGGCGCCATTTTGGCCAAGGTGAACAGAATCGCCCCTGTCAAGGCAACGCAAGCACCGAAGCCATTGCAACCTCTCAAGGCAGTCGAGTTCCCAGCTCTTTGGATAACGATATGTAAAGATGGTTAAAGATGCATGGTCCGCATGGTAGCTTAACATGGCTTAACAATGGGAACAAGATCAAGACAGGTCCAAGGCTTAGCACTTTCAAATGGATGAAATATGATGAAATCCAAAAGACAATGGAACTCGATGAAAACTTGGAACTGGGGTCGCGATCAAACAGGAAGACTGCAACCAACTAGCCAGAGCATGCCAGAACTAGTGGCTGGAGCATCACCATGTTATCAATCTTATCAGATAATTCAGATATAATTCAGATAATTCAGATATCCAGCACTACGAATGATTACGAGAGATCGCCATGCTGCCAGCACTGCACGATCGGGATTTCCCAAGGTGAAAGCTGAGGAAGAGCCCGAGAAAAAGGCTGATTATTCGGTCGATTCTTCCGAATATCCCATGTATTCTCCGTGATCTAACATCATCTAACATCCAAGTCAGGGGAACTAAACCATACATTCGCGCCGCTATGCATTGAGCTGTTCAACAACCGGGCATAGCGGGGCATAGAGCACAGAGGGGCTTTCCTCTTGGCAAAGTTTGGCCAGGCTGAGAAAGAGCCTGCCCTGCGAGTCGTGGCATTGGACCAGGTCGCATCCAGCATCATTTGCCATTGGAAAAATTGGAAGTCGGTGCCAGATTCTGCATGATAGATTCAAACAGATTTAACTAGATTGATTATGATTAATTCACGCTTGGGCATTTCGCCTTGGACAAATTTGAATTGTTTTGTATCCCCCATGCTACCAGGCCTTGAACCGTTCCTTGGCATTGCAGTAAAAGAGTTTGAAGCAGAGGACAACCTATGCAAAAACTGCTTCTACCTTGACAATATTCTTCCAGATATGATGACACTATAGAGATGCATACATGTTGACATTAATTATGATGTACTGTATGCCTATGCATATCTCCCTGTACTGCTTGTGCATATCTTGTGTATCAAATATGTATAATTTGATACAAATATATATGTATATAATATATATGAATATATATGAGATATATGTACACACGCACACAATTGTATAAAATGGTATCTATGTATGTATATAGTATATATATATATACGGTATATACGTTCATACACAATTCCATGTTTATGTATATATATATAGTTTTAAATACTGTACTCATACATATTCAAACACAGTTTTGTTGTGCAACAGTATACATGTACCTGTACAGGTGTTGACGTATATCGAGAGAGCAAGAGATGTGGGTTCTCTTGCAGTTTTGCAGCATCCTGCAGCATCCTGCAGCATCCTGCAGCTTGAGGTGCTCTGACCTTGGCACGCGGCCCAGAGAAAAAACCAGAGTTGCCTTGGTCGATGTCCAAGCTGCGATAGCATGACATAGCCATAGCCATGTGCTAAGACCGGAGACTACACAGACATTGGGGAGCACCACAACAGGAGGTGCTTGTCAGATGCCGTCAAAAGTTCAAATGATGATCATCTTGACATAAAATTCATAAGATTATCATGAATATCAATGAATGTCAATGAATGTCAATGATACATTGACAGCATTTGACTATATTTGACTGCTCTCACCAACTGTCGAAGCAGTATCAAGCAGTCGTCTCGGAAGGTCCTATCAACGGATACCGGACGATGTCCTGGCCTCGGAAAAGAAATGAAAAGAACACACGTTGTTCCAGGAAAGCCACTTTGTATATTTTTGTAGATCTTTGTAGACTGGAGAGTTTTCGAACACCGCTGTTCTTTTGTCTTACAATGTTTTCTGATTTTTATATACATTGGTTCACAATTTTCCAGATATTTTCAAGTTTGTTTACTTCGACTTTGCTTGGACGAAGACTGAGCTCAGGGCCGCACTGATGTCTTTCTTTACTACTGGGATAGCAGGCACTTGGAGTCGAAAGTTTGCGCCTTGATTTTTGGCCTTTGACCGTTGAAAGTTTCGAAGAAACAATGAGAAACATATACAACCGCACACTGCCTGTGAAGGTTGCCATGTTGGCTTTCCACTTCAGAAAAGAACATCCAGGTATCGTGATCAAGATCTCTAATCTCCCTAATATCTCCCTAATACCTCCCTAATGTCTCCCTATATCATATCCATTCATATCCTATATCATACCATATCCCTTGTCCATCCTTGTCTTCTTTTCGCCTCAGAGCATTGCATATTGCAGCGCTCCAGTGCAGGGATGATCCGACCCAGGGGGGCTGGTGGTTTGGCAATGCCTTGGGCGGAGAAGAGGTGCGGTGTGTTGAAATCGAGATTCGCATCCAGAGTCTCAAGAAGAGTCTCAAGAAGAGTCTCAAGAAGAGTCTCAAGAAGAGTCTCAAGAAGAGTCTCAAGAAGAGTCTCAAGAAGAGTCTCAAGAAGAGGAGTCTCAAGAGGAGTCTCAAGAAGAGTCTCAAGAAGAGTCTCAAGAAGAGTCTCAAGAAGAGTCTCAAGAAGAGTCTCAAGAAGAGTCTCAAGAAGAGTCTCAAGAAGAGTCTCAAGAAGAGTCTCAAGAAGAGTCTCAAGAAGAGTCTCAAGAAGAGTCTCAAGAAGAGTCTCAAGAAGAGTCTCAAGAAGAGGAGTCTCAAGAGGAGTCTCAAGAGGAGTCTCAAGAAGAGGAGTCTCAAGAGGAGTCTCAAGAGGAGTCTCAAGAAGAGTCTCAAGAGGAGTCTCAAGAAGAGGAGTCTCAAGAGGAGTCTCAAGAGGAGTCTCAAGAAGAGTCTCAAGAGGAGTCTCAAGAGGAGTCTCAAGAAGAGTCTCAAGAAGAGTCTCAAGAGGAGTCTCAAGAGGAGTCTCAAGAAGAGTCTCAAGAAGAGTCTCAAGAGGAGTCTCAAGAGGAGTCTCAAGAGGAGTCTCAAGAGGAGTCTCAAGAAGAGTCTCAAGAAGAGTCTCAAGAAGAGGAGTCTCAAGAAGAGTCTCAAGAAGAGTCTCAAGAAGAGTCTCAAGAGGAGTCTCAAGAAGAGTCTCAAGAGGAGTCTCAAGAAGAGTCTCAAGAAGAGTCTCAAGAAGAGTCTCAAGAAGAGTCTCAAGAAGAGGAGTCTCAAGAGGAGTCTCAAGAGGAGTCTCAAGAAGAGGAGTCTCAAGAAGAGGAGTCTCAAGAGGAGTCTCAAGAGGAGTCTCAAGAAGAGTCTCAAGAAGAGTCTCAAGAAGAGTCCCAAGAAGAGTCTCAAGAAGAGGAGTCTCAAGAGGAGTCTCAAGAAGAGGAGTCTCAAGAGGAGTCTCAAGAGGAGTCTCAAGAAGAGGAGTCTCCAAGAAGAGGAGTTCTCAAGAAGAGTCTTCAAGAGGAGTCTCAAGAAGCGTTCAGAGGAGTCTCAAGAGGAGTCTCAAGCAGAGTCTCAAGAAGAGTCTCAAGAAGAGTCTCAAGAAGA